TCAGGCGAGGCCGCCGTGTCCCCAGCACGCTGTCCCCATGGGGGTGACAATGCCACCGTGTCCCCAGCATGCCGTCCCCATGGCCCACGTGTCCCCAAGGCCACCCCCAGGCCACTGTCCCCATGGTGGTGACAACGCCACCGTCCTCATGGCCATCGTCTCCATGGTGGTGGCATTGTCACCGAGGCCACAGTGTCCCCAGCATGCCATGCCCAAGGCCACGGTGTCCCCAGGGCCCCATCCCCATGTGGTGACAATGCCACCGTCCCCATGGCCGCCGTGTCCCCAGCATGCCGTCCCCAAGGTGGTGACAATGCCACCGTCCTCATGGCCCGCGTGTCCCCAAGGCCACCCCCAGGCCACTGTCCCCATGTGGTGACAATGCCATGTCCCCATGGCCACCGTGTCCCCAGCATGCCGTCCCCATGGCCCACGTGTCCCCAAGGCCACCCCCAGGCCACTGTCCCCACGGTGGTGACAACGCCACCGTCCTCATGGCCATCGTCTCCATGGTGGTGGCATTGTCACCGAGGCCACAGTGTCCCCAGCATGCCATGCCCAAGGCCCCATCCCTGTGTGGTGACAGTGCCACCGTCCCCGCGGCGGTGACGCTGCCACCGCGCTGTCCCCAGGCGGATTTCCCCACCACGGTGGGGCTGCTGTCCCCGGACGAGGTGTCCCTGGAGCTGGACGGTGACAAGGACAAGAAGGGCGGCAAGGTCTACTACATCGACACCAACGCGCTGCACGTGGCCCGCGAGGGCGTCGAGGTCCTGTCCCCGCTCAAGAACGGCATGAGTGAGCGGGGAGGGGACACGGGGGGACACTGGGGACATGGGGACATGGGGGGACGTTGGGGACACTGGGGACATGGAGGAAGGGGGGACATCGCTGGAGGGAAGGTGACCCCGGGGAGGGACTCGGGGACAGCCCCGGGGGGTGGCAGTGTCCCCAGAGGGGTGACAATGACATCGGGGGGGTGACAATGTCCCCAGAGGGGTGACAATGACATCGGGGAGGGGGGGTGGCAGTGTCCCTGGG